TCATAGCACTTGTAAGGTTATAAAAAAATTCATTAAAAAGATATAGAAATATAATTCTTTTTTAAATACAGTACTACACATAGTATGACAGAAGGAAGTAAAACAATTCTTTGAAAATTGAGCTTAAAAGATTTGTATTTTAAAATTTACTGACGAACAAACTTGTCTGCGGGTAAAATCTGGGATAAAATTACCCCCGATTCCCCGGTAAAGAAACGAGAGGGAAGCACGATCTGGTATGACCTCGAGTAAAAACGAGGGGTTCCACATCTCTGAATCCGGGGAGGACGAATGGTGCAACTGGGACCGAGTACGGAAAAACATCGGGTCCGGGAGAAATGATCACCGTCAATCACAAGATTCAAAGCTGGAATCTTCCTACTCTTATTAGTTGGGACAACAGAGTGAAGGTGCGAGACTAAGGGAAAAAACGGTTAAGTACGATAAGCGGGAAGCCGTAATATCCGCCATCAACCGGATATTACGGTGCGAATCCCGCCCGATATCAACTGCAAACCAACATTTACCGAGAAAAGAAGATTTTTACTTATTTTAGACTTTTACTAGAATTGAAACTCCCCTATTATATAAATGGGAGAATTTTTTCATTTTAAAATCACTGTTGGCACGCATATCAAAGCAATAAAAGCCCATTTTGTTCTCTAGTTACTGTTCATAGTGTTCTTTAGCTGCTCAATTATTTAGTTGCAACCGAGCTCGTATCGTGGGTTTGGCCGAGGTCAAGTTTCAGTGTTCACCCAAAGGCCGGCTTAATTGTACATCACACTTGGTTTGATCGTTTTGCTTCTCTTTACTTTAATTATTTTTTGTTGATAGATCATTCGTATTAAATTAAGTGACATATCTTTTAAAACGCATACAAATTTAATTGTCACCCATTTTAAAGGGTAAACAAAACTTAAACAGTATTCTGGTTGAAACAGCCAAGTTCTAAGGATTCGTAAGAACCACCAAAGGATGTGGTGCAGTGGATGAGATTGCTCTTCCCTTAACCAGAGGTCTCGAGTTCGAGCCCTGGGTATGGAAAAATCCTTGGTAAGGAGCGCGGCCCTACGCGGTGCGAATGCGAATATAATCGGGCTTCAATGCGGTTATCAGTCACCGAATGGGAACCAAAAAAAAAAAAAAAGCATTTGTAGGAATCATTTGCTTATCTTTAACTTTTGCAGTGAACAAGAGTAGTCCATTCAAATTGAATGTGATAGTTGGCATCTTAACTCAAATTGGAAAAATGTTTTAGGCATGTATATGGATCTTTACTTACATACATTCCATATTTAATTTATTGACTTTGCTCCAATTATTAGGCTTTGCCACGGGGATATTTTTGCTTATAATTCTGGCTAGAAGAAGAAGTAGGTAAGCAAGAGGCTTTTACTAAATGAGATGAATGATATTCCTCAATTTTTAATCGAAAGTTTTGGTTTCGAGATTTAGAAATAGAAAAAATCCCTGGTAAATGGTGTTCCTCCTTTACGATATGAATCTGCATTAGTTAAACCAATAAATTTCGAATATCAAATAATTATACCAAAAAAAACAAGATAGTGCATGTGCTATATTTCATCTCTCTCTTTTCGGTTTGAGAAACGAAAATACGGTGCAAATTAGACAGTAAATAATACTACCCTTCATCCCATTTTCTCTGAAAGTGTACTATTTGGACACTAAGTTTTTTCTTTAACTACAATTTACTCAAACTCTTTTTAAATATTTTAAATTATTTACTACGATGAGTTATATTACCTTTTATATAATATGATTGTACGTTAAAAAATTTGAAGAATTTATATTCGAATTACATGACTTTTGCCTGAAAAGAATAATGTATACGTTGGTTAAATATTAATTTTGTCATACACGCACTAAATTTTGAATATTGTTGATGAAATTTCTAGCGTAAATGTTGAATTCTGCAGTATAAAATATTGTCCACACTAGTTGTATGAGGTTTGTATATTGCATCATGCATGTAAATGAAAAAAGAAAAGAAAAGAAAAGAAAGTTTTCAAAGAGAAGGAGCAACAGAAAGTGAGACTCGTTAAAACTTTTGGTTAAAGAATTGTAAACGTGTAAAGGTTTCATTTTAAGAACAAAAGTAGTACATAAAATCAATTTGAGATAAACCAGAAATGTTAAAACATGTCAACACAAAATCTTTTTCCTACCTCTTTGTTTTATTATAAAACTAATGGAATTAACGTATTGCAAAGTATGAGGCCAGAATTATTGCATGCATGGACTCGAGGGGGACATAATTAAGAACACGACATCTGTCTTAAATCTTACTTTGATTCCTTTTTCCAAAACTGTTTGCCCCATCACTATAGATTGTACGTTAAAGTTTGTCAAAAAAGGAAAGTGGAGATGTGATGGCTGTACGCGGAAGCTGTAATCTGCAGAGAGTTCCGGGGCTCAAATAAAGTAATAGAAACTTTAGGGGTTAAGACGTACTATTGGGAGAAAACGTGTGATCTACTTTCAAAATCATTTAAAACACGTGGGGTGCTATTTGATGACTTGGCATAAATCAAATTATTCGAGGTTTCCTATGGTTGCTTTTATAAATTGGTAAATTGGTATAGTGTGCTTTCTTCATACGATTTGAATAGTGGTAAAAATTGCACGAGCTAGCCAGTTTTCAGACTGATAATTAAAAAATAGACAACGTTTGTAAAGTCATTAAAAAATAGCCACTATTTTACTGCAACATAGAAAGTCTCAGCATAATATACTGGAGATTTAAAATCTGACTACTCTCCGTACACGTTATGACAACAAAGTCCATTTTTCTTTCTTCTTCTTATTTGAAAGCACGGATTAAAGGCACTTACTCCGGAACTAAAATATGGTTTTTTTGGACTCAAAGAACCAAAATGTATGGGGGAAAAAATATAGTTATCTTTTTATATATAACACTCTTTTAAAAGGCGTTATACCTTAACAGACGTTTGCCCGTTAAGGTAGAGCGCTCATAAAAATATATTTGAATGGGATAATTTCACATAAGTACACTTGGGGAAAGCACTTTTCGGCCGCCTAACTCACAAATACAGTTTTCATGCGGTAGCCCACAAATAATTTCAGCGCCTAACCCACAACTTCATCAACTACACCCAAAATCACGCCTAAATCAGATTTCACTTTTTTTCTTTCACTTTTATCTTTACCCTTTTTCCATTTTCATTCTTATTTATTTTTTACTTCCCTCTGTATAGTAAACAATATCAGCAAGTTGAAGTAAAAAATAAAAATATATTCATCCTTAGAGTCTATAATTTTATTTTTATATTTTTTTTGTAAAATCTAAAGTTTTGCAAGGGAAATTCTTATTTCACTGGAAAAAATAAAAATTTACATTATTAAACACCTTATATACATTGTTATACACACAAATATAATCATGTATAATCTTGTATAATTGTGTATAATCATGTATGATTCTGTATAACTATGAGAATACCCACAATATACATGGTTATACATGATTATACAAAGTATATATATGTATATACAACATATACATCATTCTTCCTCCCTTCAGAAGTTATTTAAAGTGAGAAGAAGAAGAAGAAAGGCTATGCGTTGGGATCGTTTCAGACTATGCTGTTAACATATGCTGGTGGTGTTGTCTTTACTGCCCTTGTCACCATCCCCAACTGGCCCGTCTATAATCGCAATCCTCGCAGTTGGTTGGACTCAAGTGAAGCTGAAAAACATCCCAAACCACTGGCTGCTAACTCCAGTTCAAAGAAAAAGACTACAAAAGATAGATCCGGTGTGGATTGTTCAACAAAATTATTTTGTGGAAGAGGAAGATAATGAACGGAGCAAGAAAATCTGAAGAAGAATTCGACTATTTTGCCAGAGAGAGAGAAAGAGACAGAGAAAGAGCAAAAGATTGAAAATGAAAGAGAAAGTGGGGTGGGGAGAAAGTCTGAAAAAGAGTGTGAGCGGCGAGGGCTAATCAGTGAAAAAAAATTTTCAACAGTATAGAACTGGGCCATACCGGGTAAGAAGGGAAAATATGGACTGTATTTTATTAGGATAGTGGGCCAAGTGACATAGAGTGTAATTTCTTCTTTAATAAACCACATTTTTTATGTGTAAAATATAGTTAAAAGTAAAGTCTATTTGTCAATTTTTTATGACATTTCTTTAAATCTGAGTTCGTTCAAAACTTTTGACGCTATTTTAATTTTCTTAAGGATTCACATTTTAAATTTTTATGATATAGTTTATTTATATTATTAATTAACTTTTCAATCAACTAAAACCGTTTTAACATTTTATTCCATTGTTAGTAATTTCTACACACGCGATCCTATTTTATGTGATGCAGTTTAATTGGGCCATAGTTTATGAAGAAAAAAAGACTTTCAGAATTTGTAACCAAAATGTGAGTCATAGGTATTTTGTAGCTATAAATCAACTCATTAAATGAAATTTTTAAAGTTAAACTATTTTAAGTATAAAAATGTATATAGTATATAGAAATTAGCATCACAAATTTAGTATTCAGTTAAATACCATCATAAGTAATACTAGTACTAGTATAAAATAAGATCGAAAGAGTAACCAATCGCGAAAAACTTCTGTTTGGCCATAAATTTTGATGATTTTTTTTCCAAAACTGTTTTGAAAATATTGTTTGTTCATTGGATCCACTGAGTATGATCAGTTTTTGAGAAAAAAAGATTCAAGTTTTCAAAAACTGGTTTACGGCAGTTTTTGGGTGAAAATTTTTCCTCCACTAACAAAACTTCTGACTTTTTCTCAAATAAAATGCATGTCCAAACGCAACTTCAACTTCTAAAAATTATTTTTCAACACAGTTTCAAAAACTCTTTTCTTTTCAAGTTTCAATCAAATTTTTGTCCAATACTAGCAAAATGTTTTGTGTATTGTTAAATAAAAATCAGTGGTAGGTTTCAGCGAATCTCTTGCTTACCACTATTTAAGTACCAACACTTCTCCAATCTTAGCAATTGAGTACAAACACTAGAGAGAGAGAGAGAGGAAATAATGTTATCGCAACGTTCACATTACGTTCCCTTTTGCCATGATAAACAAAACTCCATCGTAGATTTTCCGGCCGCCGTGTCTCCGCCTTCTACGGCCGTTGTCTACGACCAACACGGCCCCCCTGACACCGTCACTAGGTCCGTTGCAACATACACGTTCCTGTTCTAGCTTTACACTGTTCATACTTTTATTTTTCAAATGTACTACGTACTGCCGGCCATTTCATACTGTACAAGTAGAAATGCTTTTGTCTGGTGTATTTTTGCATTTTTAAAATGAAAATCTTTTCTGCAGAGTGACTGAAATTCCGCCGGTGAAGATCACGGAGAACGACGTCTGTGTAAGAATGCTCGCAGCTCCAATCAACCCTGCCGATATTAACAGAATAGAAGGTTTGATAACTTGGGTTTATTTGGCGAACTGTGTGGTGGTTGCATCAGTGGCGGAACTAGAATTTATCAAAAGTGTTTAAAAAATAAAATAAAATTAAATATACGGAGAAGCCAAGGAGATTCAACATCTCATATATGCACAAAAAAAATTAACTTTATATACAGAGTATAATTTCCCGACCAAGGAGTTTCGGTTCCCTAGCTCTGTTGCTCGTTCATGTCATTACTTGCTATTTATAATTAGTTCACAAATATTAGATTAAAAGAGGTGAAGCTGAAGCTTACTATTTATGATTCTAGTCGTTTTAAGTTATTGATTTTAAATTAATAATTTATAGATATTCAATAATTTTTTTTAATAAAAATAATGAGTTTTAACCAAAGCTATTGATCAGCTGAATCCTTAACCTAAATTCTTGCTCCACACTTGATCAGATAACTTTGGCTTCCAATGCTAGGACAAGTATAAATAAATCACATTGCATTTTTTGTGTCCTTGAGATCTGACCCCTAGGATGTGTTTTGTAAGAAGAAAAATATTTTTTGTGAAAATGTTATGTATTTTTCAGTGAGTCATTTTTCTAGTGTTTGACTACCAGAAAATGCTCGCTTTCAGAAAATAAAAATGACTTGCCTTACGAGCGAAAATATTTTTTTATAATAATTTTAACTTTTAATTTCATATTACTTGCTTTAGCTAATATTTGGATCTTATATTAATTTCTAAGACTCAATTTTTCCTTCAAACCACTCTTCAGTTAGTTAATTATTAATTTTTAATTATATATTTTTTGAAAAATATTTTCATTGGCCAAGAAACTTCAAAAAATGAAATTTGGGAAAAAAGAAAAAAGGAAAACTGGAATAGCTAGTTACGGGATGTTTTTGCGTGGTTAAAAATTTTCTACGCATATGTAGAGCGTGAAAATTTAGGTGGGATCATATATCGCACAAAGAAAAATTGCAGTTTAGCAAATCAACTGCATAAAGAGGAAAATGCTTAAAGTTCCTCCTTTTGAGTTTTGCTTTTCTGTTTTCTCTTTGATGCACATGATATAAATTAAAAGTTTGCTTTCACTAGATTAGCTTCTTTTACCTCAGTAATTAGGTTTTTTTTTTTTTTTTTGGCTAAAAGTAATTAGGGTTATCATGTCTAAGTTTCCAGGATTATACAAATTAATGGCCAAATGAAGTGACTAGCTATTATTGTGTAATATGATATCCACTATCCTGTAAACATTTTTACGATTAGACAAAACCAATAACCTACTAATAATTTCACTAAACTTGATTTAACTAGTCTTTTGGCATCAAAAGCTTTATTACTACAACTGTTTTTCTTCTTATTATCTGTAATAGTAATTTTATTAGAATAGATATTGTCCCACCAACCCCATAAATTTTAGAGAATTATTGCATATATAACAGGAGTTTATCCAGTACGGCCACAAGTACCAACAATTGGGGGATGGGAAGGGGTTGGAGAAGTACATTCTGTTGGCTCTGCAGTTAAGACTCTTTCCCATGGAGATTTGGTTATTCATTCTGCATATCTTCCAGGTACTTTTATATGTTGTTAAATGGATTCAAATTTTGAAATGGGTGCACATTATTCCTTTTTTTTTTTGGGTTTTTCACTCGGTATCCGTATTAGGGCTCGGTTAAATCCGAATTTGTGTTGGAAAGAGTAAAACACTCCCTAATTATTACGACTCTCCGGGGCTCGAATCTGAAACTACATGTCAAGGATGCAATAGTATTTTCACTCCACCACAACCCTTATTAGTGTGTGCATATTCTCGATTATTTTAATAAAAAGATGTTTAATCGAATATGAAATAATCCACTATTTTTCTTGTGGATCCGCCTCTGATCATAAAGCTCAATGATATCACGTTGTTAGACTAGACGCAATAGGTTCGACAGAACCCACTATGTCTATCTCAGACTTTATACGTAGTGTGTTTGTGCGAAAATATTATTGACACATATAAAAGGACAGTTCGGTGCACGAAGCATCTCGCATACGAATTTAAGCACTTTTCCCTAATGCAAGCATCAGTAGCTAAGTTTACGGCTCGAACCATAACCTACAGGTCATACGAAGATAACTTTTCTAGGGGGCTCCCCTTCAAATTATTGACACATACATAAACAACAAAATTCACTAACTCTAAATTCTGTAATTTGCAGTGACATTTGTATTATTTATGTATCTACTCAGGTACATGGCAGACCTACGTTGTAGAAGACCAAAGTTTATGGTACAAAATTGATAAAAGCACCCCAATTGAATATGCTGCCACATGTTCTGTTAATCCTTTGAGTGCCTTGAGAATGCTCGAGGACTTTGTGGCTTTAAAACCAGGTTTAATTAATTCCTAAAAACTCTTTAATTACTTTAGTTTTCTTGCTTCAAACCATCTAATTTTTTTATTAACTACTCTCTCTACAAATTAAATAGGAGACACAATTGTGCAAAATGGAGCAACAAGTATTGTGGGACAATGTGTTATTCAGCTAGCTCGAGTTCGTGGAATTCATAGCATTAATGTCATAAGAGATAAGCCTGGATCTGATGAAGTTAAAGAAAAATTAATGAAACTTGGTGCTGATATTGTGTTTACTGAGAGTGAATTGGATGTGAAATCTATTAAAAGTCTCCTGGTATGGTTATACCAGAACACAAATTAATTTATATCGTAACAATGACTAATTTCCAGTGTTATTTATGTGGATGCATGTTCTAGGATGATATACCTCAACCTCTCTTGGGTTTGAACTGTATTGGTGGCAATGCTGCTACTTTAGTCATAAAATTATTAAGGTGAGACACCTTTTATTAATTTAATTTGGTTTTTTGTTCTAAGGTTAAGTTTTCACTTTTCTGTTATAAAGAAAATTAACATATTACATTGAAATTTCAGGCAAGGTGGCACTATGGTTACATATGGAGGGATGTCAAAGAAACCTATTACTATATCTACTTCATCTTTCATTTTCAAGGTTAGTTTCAAACTGTCAAATATTAAATTTAAACATTACATAATTTTTTGGATTGTTAATTACGTACTTGGTTGGAGAAAGAATATTGAAATGTTGTTAGGATTTTTTTTTTTTCAACATTTTTTTTTTGGTTGTAGGATATTTCCTTGAGAGGATTCTGGCTGCAAGAAAAGAATTTAGACCAAGCACAATATAGGTGTTCGATTGATTATCTCTTGGCCCTTGCTCGTGCCGGGAGATTGAAATATGAGTACGATCTCTCGCCCTCTCTCTCAATATATATATATATATACGAACTTATAATTTAAAAATTATGTTACTTTATCGATGCACAAAAGTTAAATTATAATAATACGGAGTATATAGTTAATCGACTTGAGATTTTTTTCCCTTCGAGTAGGGGTAGTTTGAGCGTTTTTTATTTATAAGCTATTTTCGCCAACTAGGATTGTGGCGAAATACTACTGAGTAATTCAAGTATCACTTGATATGGAGGACTTCTGATTTTCGCTTTACATATTATTTTAATAAAGTGTAAGTAACATTAAATGAACAGTGTACAATGTACTGATATTAATGTGTTGAAATATTTAATACAGGATGGAGCTAGTACCTTTTAATGATTTTCATACAGCTCTTGAAAAGGCAATGGGGAAACAAGGAAGTCGAAAGAAACAAGTTCTTAAGTTCTAACTAGTAACTTAAGATTAGAAGTGAAGAAAATTCAAGGTTTCACTTATATTATGTAATGTAACAATCTGACAATATTTTTCCACTGAGCTTGGGTTTATATTTTTCATTTTAAATAATCAGATCTACTTTTTAATCTCATCTATATTAATTTGCTGTAATTTTCATATGCTTTCTTGCCAAATGGCAAAGGGACAAATTTTCAGTGATTCCATTGTACTGATATAGGTTATCCATGTAGTAGTATTTCCTCAATTCTTATTTAAGTATCCAGTTTTTATTTGACAAGAATATTTAGGGCAGGGTTATAAATTCGAAGCTTCCAGCATTCGCAATAACACATGTGAGAATTTATTCAAATAATTTAGCTTATGAATAGCGCTACATATTTTGGAACAATCTAAACTATAAATCTGAACATATTTTTATAAATATATCGTCCTTTTAAACAGAATATAAGTAAATTAGCATAATTTTTTAACGAAAGAATAACTTTGTATAGCCAAACAAATTTTAAATATTTTATAGTCACACAAATATAGTAACCTATTTAATATTACAAATTTATTATTTTTTATTGTTTTTTTATGCTTCATGTCCTACCAAAGTAAGTTATTTAAATTAAAACAGATGGAGTAATATTTTATCTAGTTCAGACTAGGGGTGTTCATGGTTCGGTTTGGATCGGTTTTCCCTTAAAAGAAACCAAACCAAGAAAGTCGGTTTTTCTCGATTCGGTTTATGTCGGTTTTTCGATTTTTTCGGTTATTTGTCGGTTTTTTCTTAAATATAAGATATACACTACCAAACACATATTCCCGCGACCACATTTTCAATGTAACACTATCAAATCAATTGCCCTTTGAGAAATCTATTATTTACCAAGATATATTGATGATAATTGAATCAAATAGTGATGAATAATTTGAGGACTCAATTAAAAATATGTTATTTTTAACACGAAATGGATTCTTACACTAAACAAAAGAAAACTATCAATCAAACTAGAATGTAAAGGTAAAGAATTATATTAAAAGTGCAAACTATTAACATTTACCATAGTTTTTTTGAAACTTTGTATAACAATATACATATATATAGGTGTAATAATAAATTTGAAATAGTTACTCCTATGGTCGGTTTGGTTCGGTTTTTTTCTGATTAAAACCAAAACCAAACCAAACCAAATTTGATCGATTTTTAAAATTCAAAACCAAAACCAAACCAAACCAAAAAGTATCGATTTTTTTGGTTAATTTGGTTTGGTTTTCGGTTTGGTTCGGTTTTTCGGGTTTTTATGAACACCCCTAGTTCAGACATTTCCAAAAACGTCATTAACATGAGGAGTTGAGTAAAAATATGGGTTAAGTCTAATCAGAATAAGTGGGCGTTTGGACATAAGAATTGTAAAATTCCGCAAAAAATAATTTTCTTTTTTCAAGTAAAAATGGTATTTGAAACTTATAGTTTTGTTTCGACATAAATATAATTTTAGATTGTTTTGAATTTTTGTGAGTGCTCTGAGTAAAAATTTTAAATAATACTTTTTCAAATTATCAAAAAATTTAAAATTCATTTTCAAGTGAAAATTAAAAATTTTATGGCCAAACTTTAATTTTGAAAAAAAAGCGAATTTTTTCGTAAAAAGGTGAAAAAACTCTCATGGCCAAGCGAGTTGAACCGAGTATAGCAATGATCGATTTTCTTGTGCTCAAGTCAAATCGTAATAATTAAGAGTTCTGGAGAAAGACCATAAATATCACGTGGTGAAATCCAGAACTGGACGTTAAGATTCTGACCTTCTTTTTCTTTTAGAAAATGAGACGTGACTAATCGGCCCAAGGACAAGAGACGACAAAAGTTGGCCAGATTATAGCAAAACAATTTGGTAGGCCATTCGCTGAGGAAAACAGTGGTGGCAAGAATTGGTGGATGAAATTTTTTAAAATCTGACTACTCTCCGTACACGTTATGACAACAAGGTCCATTTTTCTTTCTTCTTCTTATTTGAAAGCAAGGATTAAAGGCACTTACTCCGCAACTAAAATGTGATTCTTTTGAACTCAAAGAACCAAAATATGAGGGAAAAAAATATAGTTATCGTTTTATATATAACACTCTTTTAAAGGGCGTTATAACTTAATGGACGTTTGCCCGTTAAGGTCTAGCGCCCATAATAAAAGCGTTATATTTGAATTCACATGGCGTAGGAAAAGCAGATAAATAGAATTTAATGTATCAAAAAAGGTTTAGAGTGTTGGGTGGTGCAATGGTTAAAGGCTAGGTATAAAGTTGGTTTTGGCCTTGAGGTTCAGGGTTGGATTCCTTCCAACAGCATTATTTTGTTTTCCTATTTCTTTTTTATTTTTTATTTCTTTTCATTATTTTGTTTATGTATTTAGATATAAAATCTTTAATATTTATATTTATAATAACTTTTCAATGTAATTAAAATAATTTAATATTTATTAGAAAATTATAATTTTTGAATTCATTTAAAGAAAAAAAATAGAGAAGCTTTTTATTATTTCGTTAAAAAATCTACCGACATTTTTAATAGTTGTTATTTTGTATTATACGTAAAACAAAATTATTTTTTTTCTCCTTTATTTTCAAATTAGAATTATGAGTTTTATTTTATAGTTAAAATTTTCATAGGAGAATAATATATATAGTTTAATCCATTGCTTGAATTTTTTTATTTGTTTTTGATATCTTTCTTTTTTAAAATTTAGTTATTAAAATTTTAGTTATATTTACACTATATGAATTTTATTAATAAAAATTCTAATCATAAATCTTATAATTTTTTTATTATTAAATATAAATTATTTAATAAAAAATACATTTAAAGAAAAATATAAAAAATATAATTAGAACTTTGATTAATAACTAAAATTTTAAAAAAGTATTTCTAAAAAAAAGCAAAAATATTTTTTGGACTTCAAATTTATTTTTTTCAAAATTTTTTCTTTATTGACATTTATGAAAGAAAGACATCTAAGGAGTATTCTTTTTTTGGATTTCTTTATTTTGGAAAATACTTCAAAGTGAAGGAAACCCGTATTTTTGGATTTTGATTTTTATTGATTTTTTTCTTTTTTTCGTATGAAAGACATTAGAAAGAAGGAAACCATTTTCGAGTTTAAAAAAAACTTCTTTTTTTTTTTGAATTTTCTAATGAAGGATTTCTAAAGAAAGAACTGAAAGAAAATATTTTTGGATTTTTTTGAAAATTGGGGTCGGAACCGATGAGGTTTGCCTACGTATCTCACATCCGGTGAGAATCAGACCCGCGTAGTTCGGTCAGCTTTGACGGAACAGGAAAACAGGGCACCTGAAAATTTCAGCTCATTTTGAAATGACTTTTCTTTTTTCAGAATTTCGGCAGAGTTTCAGAATGTTCTAAATACCTACCTCTCACTCTTGTTTCCTTTTTTTCTCTTTTTTTTCGATTTTCTTCCTCTATTCTAGAAGCCAGTCAACATGCAAGCCGAAACAAATATATACGCAAGTAGCACGTAAGATGCATCAGGATGGTCTTTTCATTTCAAAGAATTCCAAGTAATAGATTAAACTGTATATATTAATTAAATTAAGATATCTAAAATTTATCTATAAAATAGAACTCATAATTCTAATTTGAAAATGAAAGGAGAAAAAAAATTTTGTTTTACGTATAATACAAATAACAACTATTAAAAATGTCAGAAGACTTTTTAACTAAATAATAAAATGTAATGACCTGACCGGTCGTTTTGAGCTCTAGAGCGTCATTCGGCAGTTTGAGGCCTTAAGCAGCTTCACGTTAGGTATTATGACTTGTACGCATGGTCGTAATCGAATTCCGGGAAATTCGGAGTTGTTTTGGAAAGAAAATTCTCTTTTCGAAAGCTTTAAGCTGGAAGAATTGACTAAGATTGAATTTTTGAGTAAACGATCTCGGAATCGGGATTCGAAGGTTCCAGCAGGTTCGTATGATGATTTTGGACTTGGGCGTATGTCCGGATCCGGTTCTGGACGATCCGAGAGCCTTTCGGCGCCTATTATGTAAGTTAGCATTTCGGAAGAATTTCAGAAGTTTGGGTTGAAGTGCATTTCAGTGTTATCAATGTCCGTTTGGTATTCCGAGTCTGAGAATAGCTCCGTATGGTGGTTCTGGTGTTGGGAGCGGGATCGGAAGTGGATTTGGAGGTCCGTAGGTCATATTTGAGTCATTTGGCGAAAGTTAGAAATTTGAAGGTTTTTGAGAAGTTTGACCGGAAGTGGACTTTTTGTTATCAGGGTTGGATTCCGATTTCGGAAGTTGGAGTAGGTCCGTCATGTCAAATGTGACCTGCGTGCAAAGTTTGAGGTCAATCGGACGTGATTTGATAGGTTTCGGCATCGAATGTTGAAGTTCTAAAGTTCATTAAGCTTGGATTGGAGGGAGATTCTTGGTTTATGTGTTGTTTGATGTGATTTGAGGCCTCGAGCAGGTCCGCATTATGTTTTGGGATTGGTTGGTATGATTGAACTGGGTCCCGGGGGCCTCGAGTGGATTTCAGGTGATTAACAGATCGATTTAGACTTGAAGGAGGAGCTGAAGGGGGGATTTTTGTTGCTGGTGTAACCGCTTCTGTAGAAGTTTCATCGCAGAAGCTGCCCCGCAGAAGCGAGGAGGTGAACCGCAGAAGCGGCTGGGAGTGAAGGGGGCTGAGGCCGCTGGTGCGAGGGAATTTCCGCACCTACGTGATCACAGATGCGGTCTAGGCAGCGCAGAAGCAGACTGGGGCAGCTAGAGGCTTTCCCGCATACGCGGTATTGGCGCCGCACCTGCGAAACCGCAGAAGCGGTCAAGTGACCATAAAAATCAAGTTTTGACTCACTTTCCTCATATTTTCACTTTGGTTGGGCGATTTGGAGCCTTTAAAGAGAAGGGATTTCATTATCAAGCTTGAGGTAAGTTAATTCCACCTCTTGTAAGTTAAATACATGGTTTTATTATGGACTGAAGCATGAAATTAGGAGGAATTGTGGGTTTTTGGTGGTAGACCGATAAATTGGTATTCTTGGATTTTGACCACAATTTTGGACATGAAATTGAGAGTAAATTATATATTTGAGTTCGTGAGGTTATGAGAAAACTTTATCTTCGAAAAATTTCGGAATCCGGCACGTGGGCCCGAGGGTGATTTTGTCAACTTTTCACTCGGGGTTAGAAATTGTTATAAATCGAATTATAATAAGTAGTTGAGCATATATTAATGGGTTTGCATAATTATTG